TCATTAGTTTGCCTAAGATTTTGCTGGTCTGTTCTACTTGCAGGGGTTACAGATGGTCCAGTTGAACTATATTGGTCTTCTACTGGCATGCATTCTACTTCAATTAACATATTTTGATATTCTTTTTCTCCTAAAATATGTTCTAATCCTATATTTAAAATCAAATCTTTCATTTCTTTATCTGATAATCTATGTAATCCTAAATCATAAGTTCTATATTTTTCTATATATTCTTCTTCATCTAAATTATCTATGTCATCTATGAGTTTATCAACTATATTATCAAAATTATGCTCAATCATATTTATTTCTAAATTATCAAACGCCATATGTATTTCTTCATCTAATTCACTTTCTAAGTCCTCTATATCATTTATTTGCTTATAATTAGTAAATCTTACTATCGCTTCTCCTACACGATTTTCAAAAATTTGTGCTTTATCAAGTTGTCTATTTTTTGCTACTTGTAAATTGGGTAAAATCCATTCTGTTCCTTCTAAAAAGCTATTATCTACTGGTTTTGCTTCTATCATATTAACATGTTTACTACCAAAAGTTTGTACTAAATTTTGGAATTCTACATTAAATTTGTAATTATAGGTATCTGAAATTTTTCCTACATACATAAGACTAATACTTAAATTTTTGTATTCTCCTTTCATATTATAATTTTTTGTCCTTATACTGATTTTAATATGTTTACTAAATTCTCTAATATTCATGACATAATTAGGAATACATCCTATGACTGCTAGGTTTGTGCTAAGATCTACTTCTGTTGTAGCTATAGCTGCCTGCTGATGGTTATCCCATCTGTCATCATATATGTATACTAATGCTTTAGTTCCTACTTGTGCTCTTGTGAGTCCAGCTATTCCTATCATAATTGTTCCTATATGAATTTGTTGATAGTGTGACTTTCTAAGATGTTCTATTGCCGTATTACTAAGTAAATTAAGAGTTACTTCTTTGTCTATACAGCTTACTTCATGTTGACTAATGCTACTTACAATACTATGTCTGTTTTCAAATCTTCCTAATTGATATAAATTATATTTATTTTTCTGAGATTTTTCAAAACCTTTTCTGAGAAATTCTTGTGCTTCTTGTTCACTAGGGTATATATCTTCTGTTCTAACTATTTCTTTTCCTTTTCTTCTAAAGAGTTCCATTTACTATTATCAAAGGGATTTATTCTACTTTTTCTTTTATCAGGATTATTTCCTAAGGATAAACTATCTAATTTATCAACTAAGTCTTTGGGTAGTGTGGAAGTAGTTTTGTGTACTATTTGATTAATTTCTGTTATTTGTTCTTCTAATTGATCTACTTTTTCAGCTATATTTAAGATTAATTGGATAATTAAATTATTTTGTCTTATAGGGATATTACTACTTGCTACAGATGTTATGAATTCTGTAAGACCTACTGGTTCCTTATCTAGTTCACCAACTTCTTCTAAAGCTTTGATGTATTTATTATTAATTTTAGAATATGTCATTAAACTAAAAGTCTATCTATTTTACTATGTAACTTTTCTACTTGTTCAGTTAATGTTTTTTGTACTAGTTGTATTTTTTGTACTTCTATTTTTAATTGCTCAATAATTTCTAATGACTGGAGCTCTATTTGTTTTGGTTTACTATCTATGAGATCTATGAGGTCTTTGATTTCTTTCTTGCTAGGAAATCTTTGAATATTCCTATTATTATCTTCTAATTGAGATGTTATATAATCTAAGTTTTGCCTAATTGTTTTTAAGGAATTTTTCTGAAAATATTCTAATAACTGTTGAACTATTCTATTATGTTTGTTATGTTCAAATTTTACACTTTCTGCTTGACTAATTAAAAGGTCAACAATACTATTTTCTAAGGGCCTGTTACTGCTATGTAATAGATGTTTGTGTTCTTTTTGTGGAAAATAACAAACTAATGTGTTGTTATCTAAAGTTAATTTTTTCTTTTGTTGTTCACTAATTTCTAAATTAAGGTACTCTATCATATAAATTTATCTAAGTCTACCTTTTTCTTTTAAGATGCCTAAATGCTCCTGAAATGCTTCTATGGATTCTTTACAGACTTCTAAATGGTACTGGTTCCTTGTTATGCTATTATGTACTTCTAGTTTTCTTATAGGATAATTACCTACTTCTGGTGATTTTATTAATTCTTCTAAGTTCCTAATTTCTCTTTGGTATTCAGCCTTCTGTTTCTTTAATTCTTGTAACCTTTCTTTTATTCTAATCGATGTCCACCATGGGCCAAACATGTAAAGGGTTTACTGTTCTTAACTGGTAATTGGTAATTAACAAAATTTTAACAGGTTATAAAACGTTGGTTTTTATCAGTTGTGTTGATTGACTTCTGTCCTCAAGGTACTTTACTATCATAATCATATTATTAAGGTGCTAAACTAAGGCTCTGATACCATTTTTAAAGCCGGGCTCGGTCAAGGTTTCTAAAGGCCAAAATAACAACCAGACATCATGCCTAGAACATGGAACTAGAACATGGAACTGCAAAGACGCCAACTTAAACGGCTATGGAGCAGAACTCAGAGGTTCCCTGACAGACGTCTAATTATTGTTATGGCAAATATCAAACATAACCAAGTGCTCAAACAAAGTATTGATCGTCAGTTTAGCAAGATAATAACATAATTTTAAAGTGTTTCCCTGTTTTGGACAAGAAGTCGTCTAAGAAAACCAAGAAAATAAAAGAGAAAAGAACTTACTTAACAATGGTCGGCGGTATTAACAGTGGTTGATGGTATTAACAGTGTTTGATGGTATTAACAGTGTTTGAAGTGTATGGAGAATAAGAGAGATTATATGAACAAAGAGAGTTTTATTGATTGAAACTGAAGGAGGAAAGTACAGAGATTTTTTCTTCTCTGGTATTTCGTACTTCTCTTCTTCGGAGTTACAAGCTATATACACCATTTTCACCGACTCTACTAAGAATGGCTAAGGATGAGAGGAGAAACCTCTCTCTCTAATACTATCTCTCTCTTTCTGAACTTTCATACATACATCACATGCCAACTGATGGCAAAACAAAAGATTCTTCTGTATACTAAGACGAAATGCACTCTAAAATATGTACAAGGAAACAAAACATTATTTCTGGCACTGTCGTTGCGCAGTAATAACAGTTGGGCAGATGCAAAGTAATAGAGTCTTCACATGGTCTGAGTGCTTAAGGACAAAATCTTCACATGCTGAAGGCGGAGAAGGAGCTCTAGGACTTGCATGTCTTTGATGCCAAAGATAATGGTTTTTTCGTTATTTAAAAAAGTTTTTGGGTGTTTTTATAAGCTGCTTGCTTCTTTTAGGTTTTTCACTAAATTTCCTTTAGCTTTATTTATTTATTCAGTGGTTGAATGTTTAGGTATACATAATACATGGGGATAAAAGCTACTTTGCAAGGTATCACACTTCTTACTTCCTTTCTTAGTCTGTTTTAAAAAATATTCTCGAAAGGCCCACAGCTTCCATATTTATTGCTACTTTGCATGCCAATGAGCACCAAAAAAAATATATTATAAAAAGAAAATAATGGTGAGTCAGGATATTTTGTGTGGGGGGGACCAAAACAAAATGGTGCAAAATAATTTTATACTCAATTCTGGTTCTAATTCCTTGAAATTTAGAAAAAAAATTCAAATAATGACAATAGCAACTTACATAAAGAAAAATAATAAAAACAAATTCACATAATTTATAACAGTATAAATTAATGCAAACAAAAAGCAGCTCAATTATTTTTGAAGATTACATGTATTGATTAGGGGAGGAATTAGCTAATGTAGCTGCACCTATTTTTTATTTCGTTCATTGAGTTTCTGGGGCCTACATATACTTATATTTTGGTCCCATCATCATAAATCAATTACAGGAGATTGTTGGGCAGTAAAGAAAGTCACCAGTTGAGAGACGGTGAGGGAACTCTCACAACGGAGAGGATTACTGGCCGAGAGGGTTGAATTTAAAAATTTGGACGTATTCAACTCAAATTTTTAAAGACTTTATAAAAGTCTAGTAGTATTCGATTGTGACTTTTGAAAAGTCTTCAAATGCTTAATAGTATCCAAATATTAAACGACTTTTATGGTTAGCTCGTGGTGATCATAAAGAATTTCGAAATAACGCTTGCTTAGGCCTTACTTAATGAAGGGACTTGGGTTTCTCAAAGTCTCATCTTAAAGTTCCACGTAATTTCTGAAGTTCCTTCTTTGGAGTTGCCAAATGGGTTACCTGGTCTGCATGAACTCATAAGTGCCAGGAGAGCCCAAATCTTGTCCAAGTGACTCATCCAAACGAACCCTTAAAGAGTTTGTTAAATAGTGAATTTTTGTAGACTTCTAAGGGTAAATATTAAGACCAAAAGTTTGGCCAATTCACTAGATCTATGTCAAATACGGAGAAATTATCGTATGGTACATGAATGCGGTAGCATGGTATATTGGATTTCACATGTTATGATATGAGTGAACACAAAGTTGATATTTTACACAAATACATGGACAAGTTATACTGCAATGATGTACTCTAATACCAACTTCGAGCATATATATAAGACTCCATTTGGATGGAGGGATTCTAAATCAATGAATTTAGATAACATTACAAAGTAAAATTATTTATATTGACTATTACAATTCATGTATGCCAAGAATTGGACAAGCGAAAAAGAAACAAAATTACAATTCAAATTATTCCTTGCATATAGTCACTTCAAATGTACTACATTTAGTTATTTCAATTACTTTCAAATCTAATGTGGTTCTTCTTCTTATAACAAATTTGGCCTCGTCTAATCCAAATAATTCCTTTCAAATCCTTCTATCAAACGGAGCCTAATATGGTAAATTTCTCCCATCCCACGCATGCATTTCTGCTCATACCTTTCAAAACAGCAGATATATTATTCTTCTTCTTCACCATTACATATAATTTCAGCCAAATCCAAAGAAATCAGAAAAACCCAAAATCAGAGATGGGATTTGAAACACATTGTGATGCTGCCATTCATGGCTCAAGGCCATATCATACCATTTCTAGCACTAGCAAAGCAAATCTAGCAAAGCAAATCCAGCAAAGAACAAACTTCACCATCACCATTGCCACAACCCCCCTCAACATCCAGTCCCTCCAATCCACCATTGCCACCTCATCAAACAACAACACCATCAACTTGGCTGAGCTTTCATTTTGTAGCACAGACCATGGCTTGCCCCCAAACACTGAAACCCCAGAGAACTTGCCTCTCAGCAAATTGATCAATCTTGTTGCTGCTTCTGTCAGCCTTGAAGCTCCTGCTCGCCGCCTAATCTCCGACATCATGGAAAAGGAAGGCCGCCCGCCGCTTTGCATAATCTCTGATGTGTTTTTCAGCTGGGCTAATGATGTTGCAGACAGCTTAGGAACTGTCAATGTGAGCTTCACCACAGGTGGTGCTTATGGAACTGCAGCTGACACCTCCATTTGGCTCAACCTACCACACCGCTCTACAGAGGAGGACTTCTTCACCGTTCCTGGGTTCCCGGAACGGTGCTGTTTCAATATCTCTCAGCTGGATCCATTTACAAGAGCTGCAGATGGTACAGATTCTTGGTCCAGATTTTTCCAGCCCCAAATTGCACTTTCTGCTAAATCTTTTGGTTGGCTGTGTAATACTTTGGAGGAAATTGAACCCTTTGGATTGGATGTCTTGAGGAATTACGTGAGGCTTCCTATTTGGTCCATTGGGCCTCTCATTCCTAGAGAGGCACTCAAGAACTCATCCACTTTGGATGTAAGTGTCTCAAGGCAACGTGCAGGAAAAAAACTGAGTTTTCCTGCTGAGAAATGCCTTGAATGGCTTCATCAACATGCTTCAGATTCTGTTATTTATATTTCGTTTGGTTCTCAGAACACAATCAGTGAAACCCAAATGAAGGAATTGGCTATTGGGTTGGAAGAAAGTGGGAGGGCTTTCATTTGGGTCATAAGGCCTCCAGTAGGGTTTGATTTGAAAGGAGAGTTCAGAGAAGTGTGGCTGCCTCAAGGATTTGAAGAGAGAATGAACAAAAGCAAACAAGGCTTGTTGTTGCACAACTGGGCACCTCAGTTGGATATTTTGTCACACAAATCCTCTTTTTCCCCGATCCTTGAAAAATAGATTCGGTCAACGGAGCACACCCGGGGGTGTTGGCCAAAGCTCCTCTGATACCTAAATCAGTTAAATGGTCTTAGGAAGAAGCAGCTTTAACTGAAAAGGGTGGAGCTTTCTCTACGGTACAAGAGAGGAGAGGGGTGGCTTATGGCCGTGAGAGAGGGAGAGAGTTGGGATGACAACAGGCCGGATATGACAATACCATCCCTGTCCCCGCTTCCCATCCCCACCCCATCCCCGGTGAAGAGTTTTTGGGGGATCCCCGTCCCCGTCCCCATAAGGGGGATATCGCCCATCCCCGCCCCAAATCCCCGATTCTTGAGCTGGGATCAACACAACCAAATCCTACTCCAAAACCCAATTCTCCAAAGGTGACCAGATAATTAGAGAAACGAAAAGGGTAAACAAACACAGGAGAAAAAAGAAAAGAAAAAGAGAAGTGAACAGTGCAAACTCGTTTAATATATAAGCATCTAAATCCAATGACAACAGAGGTTGAGTATATATTTCTTTTGGTACTGTTAATTTGTTGAATTCATCCACTCACAAACAACAACCAATTAACTTCTATACCAACATTTTTAGTTCTTTTTTCTAAGCTAAAACATGAGGGTTTGTTGCTATGTCAGATGCAACAAAAAAGCAAAAGAAAGACGATGAAGTCTGTGATTGATAGACAGAGAGAGAAGAAATAGGAAATAAGAAGAGATGAGGAGAGGAGGGGGTTTCTTATTTATTTTTAATTTTTGAATGATGTTTATATTATATTATATATGTATTAATTTAAAATTACTCTTATAATTATCAGGCCGAGTTTGGGGACGGGGATGCTAATACCATCCCCATGCCCTATACCCAATGGGGATTTTTAAGATATCGAGGATCCTAGTTTTGCCCCGAAATTTCCCCAAAAACGTTAGGGCCGGATTGGGTGTTGGGCCCAACGGGGAATTTTGCCATCCCTCGGAGAGAGAGAGAGAGAGAGAGAGAGAGAGAGAGAGAGAGTTTTTGCCAGAGTTTTGGGTCAAAACTGAGTTTAGAGTTATCTCATGTGTGGTGAGATGCCATCTTTATATAGTGTCTCCTCATTGGCTAGGGTTTGTAGAGAATAATTCTCATGTGGAATGGAATTATTCCTTTCTTAAATGGGATGACAGGATAATATCTTAATATTTAATTAACACAATTATTTGACCTAAGGAAAATTCCCTTATCCTCGTGTCACTTTGTGATTTTGGTTGCCAAAATTCACGTTCCCACAAAGCTAAAAAGCCTTACTCTATCTCTCTCTCATGTTATTATTATCTATTTCAATTACTAGAAAATAAAATACAGTCTCATTCAAAAATACAGAGCTAAATATGCAAGATTGATAAAGGACCACATTTAGCAAATATGAGAGAAGCTTAACAAGAACACTAATCACTTTACTTGTGGCATAATTCCCCACAATGAAAAAAATAATGAAACAGAGCTTAAAGGTTAAACAAAATCACCATTCAAAACAAAAACAATAATTGATCACAACACAATTCAAGAAAATTGCCTAAGGCCTACTTTTTCAACAGTAATTTATCACAACACAAGTCAAGAAAATTGCCTGAGGCATAATTCTTGATAATAAAAAGAGTTTTTCTATTTAAACTCCACACTTTTCTTTGTTCACCCCAATACCTAAATCATTAAGCTCTTAAGTTTTATTATTGTGTAAAAAGACAAAAGAGTCATCCAACTTAATACTTAACCATAATACATCTGTACATACACCCCACACACCCCACACTCCCACTCTTCATATTTGATTATGGTAACTTATATGAGAGCAATTTTCCTGTGCCTTCTTGTTTCGATTGAATAATAAAACAAATATTGATCAAAAGAAACTTTTTTATTTTTATGGACTCTTCATCTTCTTCCTTTGGCTTTCTAATCACCCAATGAGAAAAACCCAAAGATAATTAGAATTTGGGAGAATAGGAAGAATAGAAACAGACCTAATTGCCAAAGAAATAATTGGCCATGATTTTAATGTGAATGAAGTTGAAAGACCCAAACAAGAGTTCAACAACCATCAACAAATGATTTACTACTGCTCCTCAACTTCCCAATGGTGGCAGCGGCTGCTTTCGGATGGATAGAGGAAGAAGATGAATAGGCAAGTTTTTAATTTTCATTTTTAATATATATTTTTTTGTTACAATATTGAACTCAACTTATATATCAATTTAACTGTGTTTTTATAATAATGTGAGATTGAGGTGAACTTAGAATGGTAAAGGGCAAGATGACAAGGGTGTGTGGTGTGAAGTTGATGAGTATTTTTTGTTTTTTGTTTTTTATGCTAGGTGTCTATTTAGGGGTAGTTTAGGAAGATAGTGGGGTTTTCTTAGAAATTGTGAAAATTTGAATTAAAAGTTGGGGTGAACTTAGGCCTAGTGTGGGATTGCTGTCACTTTTAAAAAAAGTTGCTTCTGCTGTGCTTTGAAAATAATTAGCTGTAAAGTAAAGCAGCTCCATATTTGGTAAACAATATTTTTAAAGTGCTGTTAGTACAAAAAGTAGTGTAAAAGCGTTTGGTAAATTTTAATATAAAATTGTTGTAACTGTGAATAATGACTAAAATAGACATGATGTTAAAAGTGTTATCTACTAATCATGTGGTGGTAGTTGTAGTGATGGAGTGGAGGTGGTGGTGGTGATGAAGGTGGGGTTGGTGGTGGTGGGGATGGCAGTTGTGGAGGTCGTGGTGGTGGATTTGGAGGTTTTGGATGAGGTGGTGGTGGAGGTGGTGGATGTGGTGGTGGTGGCAGAGGATGAAGAGGAGGAGGATGTGGTGGTGGTGGTGGTGATGTTGGTTGTGGAGGTGGTGGTGGATTTGGAGGTTTTGGAGGAGGTGGTGGTGGTGGTGGTTGTGGAGGTGGCGGAGGAGGTGGAGGTGGAGGAGGAGGTGGTGGAGGTGGAAGAGGTGGTGGTTGTGGTGGTGGTGGCGGAGGATGAGGATGAGGAGGATGTGGTGGTGGTGGTGGTGGCGGCGGTGGTTGTGGAGGTAGTGAATGTGGTGGTGCAAGTGGTGGAGTTGGATGTGGAAGTGGAGGTGGTGTCATTTTTTAAAATGAAGGAGTGTATTTTGGGAATTAAAAAAATTCATTAAATGTTCATCTTTGCTTATTTTGAGGGCTGGTTTGGGGTTGCTTAACTTAAAAAATAAGCAGCTTTGAAAAAAAGTTTTGGAGATTTGGGTGTTTGGTAAAACAAATCCAAGCTGCTTATTTAATAATTTGCTGTCATTCAAAGCTAAAAAACATAAGCAGGTGGGGAGCTGCTTCTAAAATCTGCTGTCATGAGGGATGGCAAAAATCCCTGCCGGGGGGGAATTTTCGGGGCCAAATCGGGTACGGGTACGGGGGAGACCCGAAAAAAAAATCCCCGACATGTTCAGGCCGGGTATGGTAATTGTGTCCCCGTCCCCAAACCCGGATTTAAACAGAAAAAGTAACAGATTTGACGGTAGGACTAACGATGTAACAAAACACATAATTGAGTGACCTCTGCAACTAATAATTGAATTGAGTGACCAAAGTGTAACTTAGGATATAGTTGAGGGACCATTGCTGCGAATAACCCTAAAAAATATGAAGTTCTCTCCGTTCCTCGGTGTTGTTAATTTTGATAGGTACTTTGGTTGTTGTGTTGATGTGGTTAATGTTTTACAATGGTTCACGATAATAGGACAATGCTAATTAGATCATGTGGAATTCGGATGCAAAATGAATGAGTTTACAACTCTTGGTTCAGTACGTTGCGAAAATGAGATCAGTTCTGGCATTAATGTTCTTAAGGCTAGTTCAGATGTTGATTTATGTTTGCCTTCTTCATTGCACCCACTGTACCCTCTTTCATGATGTGTGGTTTCCTAAGTGCTTGAATAAGTTGCTATAGCTGTGTTTCATAATGTGAGGTTTCATGTGTTACAAATTGAAAGCACCATAACCACAACAATACAAACATTTTGAAGGGTTTGCATAACCTGTCATCAAATATCTTGGATCATGCATCTTTGTGGTCTTCGCTTACTGTTCTGGAACTGGGGGAATTTGAACTAGAAAAATACTGGAGTTTTCTCTAGTTTGCTTCAGTAGGACGAACACACGGCCATTAACTAAGCACGAAAGCATGTGTGTTCGTCCCACTGAAGCAATGCAAATTTTGTTTACTTTTATACAATTCGATGCTCTTCCAGCCATTCTACCAGGTGTTTATGGACTGTCTACAGCTGGACTTAAAGATTAAAATGTAGTTTTAACTTTTCTTTCAAATATAATTTCAGTTATCTATGGTGACTTGTAGAGCTAGCACCGACCCGGAAGGTTCAAACGTAATGATTGAATGATGAATGCAGCTGCAGCGTATATTACACTCAGTATTTACATTTGACTTGTGAAAAATGTTGATTTTGTGACAGCAATTGTGTATGTCCTGCCTATTTTCTAGAGATACTTATGGGATGGCAAGCTCCTGGAGTGGGTGAAAAGGTGCAGAGGGAGAGTGTTTCCAAGAGCCTTCCTGACCAATACCAAGTCTATGACTCTGTCGAAGTCAAGAACGTGCTTGGAATTAATTAGGAACAAAAGTTAAAAGTTGTTTGCTCTTAAGATTCAGATTTGCTTGGATGTGACTAGGAATTGTAAGCTAGTTTGAAGTATTGCCCTTGTTGTTATAAAGTGATTGAGAGAGAGAGAGAGAGAGAGAGAGAGAGAGAGAGAGAGCGTGTATATAATGAAAGAACAGAGATTGAGTAAGGACAGAGAAACTGGCAGAATTGAGTTTGCCTTTTGTTGTTAATAAGATATATTCATGTTGTGCCCAAAAATGTTTATGAACATCTACACAATTAACCATCTTTTTTAATGCTTTCTCTTGAATGTCCATAAATTAATGACAATCTCTTGTATATGAGACTCCCATCTCTATGAATTGTCTATAAGAAATGAAAGTAGGGCAAAATATATATATATATGAACTCCAAACAACAGGTCATTCCTCAAATGATTTCAAAGTTACAAAGATTCTTTCATTTTTCTTCAAGAGAAAAACCTAATTACTAACAATGGAGTTACTGGATTTTGATGATTCTTGTCTCTTTGATAAAAGAACAGCAACAAAATCATCCATTGCCTTAACAGAAGACCCTTTTTCTTCATCATCATCTCGTATTGATGCTCTTATCTTCTCCTTAATCACAGCAGCACTTTTCCTCATCTCTCCACCTTTACCACTTTCATCCATCACCAAATCAATCACTCCCTTCACCTCCTCCCCAACAATTTTGCTCTGCGCACCCCTTGTCAGCTCCACACTCACACCCATCTCCTCCACCAACATCTTTGAATTATAAGCCTGCTCTGCTGCCAATGGCCACCCAACAATTGGCACACCCTGGCTCAAGCTCTCCATCACTG